CGCTTTCCAAATATGCTTCTCGTAATCGGAAATATCATCGGATCGAACCAATCGAATGTAGCACATTTGGAATGAAAGAATACCGTGTTTTATAACAATAATAGATGATAAATCCGCGTATACGGATTTGAAATATGGAACGGGTGTTTACGAACGCTTTCCCGATTTAGTCGTTTCAACCGATTTCCTGGGTCGCGAAGAATCGGGAGAATGGATAAAGATTGACTCGATTTAGGAGATATTGATGTATACGCCTTTGTGAAAGTGGAACTGAAAACTACCATTCTGTGCTTGGAAAATATATATCGTATGGGTATGTATGTATGGGTGGTGGTTTTCCCCTCTGAAATCGGTTCAGCCAATAATTTATGGGCTGTTGAATGTTGAAGAATCTGGGAACCGGGATGCATCGTTTTAAATTCTTTACTGTCGATAAATATAATATCATTTGATTTATATTTTTGGATTATACTACTAGTGTTTTAATCACTGGAGCAATTATCTTAGATTAAAAAAAAAATCTCTTTCCATTTTGTAGATAGATAAAAATTCTTCTCTCTATTCATATTTTATTAGATTACGAACGAATGAATTTATTTCATGGGAGAAAAATACGTCTTTTTTAATCCGGACAATCACCTCGGAATTAAAACGTATAAAATATTGAGGAAGAATTTTTCGCAATTTTTCGCAAATCATGATTTTTATAAAAATCTGTATATATATAATTTTTCCCTTGTCTGTCTGAGAAATATTCTCTTGTATTTCCTTTTTCAAAAAAAAAAAAAAAAAAAAATTACAAAATTCACTCGATAAATTCCAGCAAAATGTTATCCAATATTATTTTTTTAAAATTTAATAATCGTTAAATAAATAAATATTTCTCTCGTTCCCCTCCTTTCTCTATCGAGCTTTTGAAGAATCATAGTCAAGAATCGGTCGAACAATCGAGCTTCGAATTATAGAATCGAGATCAAAGAAAAAGAACTTTAGGTCGATCGACAAGTGTGAATGATTAGCACGATATCCTCGAAAACTTTTTCCACGACGTTAAATAGTGACTATCTACTTTCGATTTTTCAAGGAACTTTGTCTCCTATTGAAGGTTTCGTAACGTCAACGAGCGATAATTCGATAAAACGTGAACAGACCATGGAACATCGAACACAAGTTTCGATCCTTGGTAAACTTCGATCCTTTCAAAGCTTTTCCTCCTCGGGATCCACTTACCTCGGTCGTGGAATTTGGAGCACTCGTATCGAATACGAAACGAAATTCACGCCGTATTCTATTCTTAGAAGGTTACACCCGAATAAAACATCCCTTTTATTTATCTATCAGTTTTGTGGGAAAAAATTTTTAATAAAATATAAAAAAAAAGATCAATTTTTGTAATAGTTATTGAAATAGAGCAATTGCAATGATTGTAAGTAATAGGAAATATCTTTGAATACGATGATTGAGAAATATCTTTGTTTCTCATTGAGGATAATCTAGAATAGAATCCTATATTAATTTAATTATTTAAGAAGAAAATCTATAGTGAAGAATATAAAATACTTAGAAGAACTAGATACTTTCGTGACCAATTGTGGAAAATATAATTATTTGTTTTTTTAGAATATTATTATACATATACCAGCTGCAAGATTTCATAAAATATATCTATAATCATCTCTTTTGAAATATCTCTATGGCTCTTCTTAAAAAAAGATTCATCATATTATTAAAATTCTTTGTGAAATAAATTTCATATCCACTCTTTCGAATCGATTGATGTATGTTGAAAGAATTTTTCCAAGCAAAATTTTCAATGGAATGGACGAAAAAGAGTGCTCGAATAAAATTGCTCTTTCAACTTTCAACAAACGATATTTTTCATCGTTATGACATCGAATATATGAAATGTAGGCAGAAATCTTTAATTGCAGATCTATCTTTTATTCGCGAATTAATGTATTAGTTACGTCGATTTCGTTCACGTCACGTAAAGGAATATCGATATTAATATCTTGTAAACAAGATGTATGTCGGTTTATGCGTTTATTATAGTTATTCGAGAACTATCAATCGTTTCTTTTTTCTCGTCTGTCAGCTAATCAATAAAGAAAGGAATTGGAAAATTGATAGGTTCGTATTCACAGTCTTTATATTCCATTAATATTCCTCGAACGTTGCATAATTTCTATCGTTCTTATATATTTCCTCCTCTCCAAATATTTCATAAAAAAGAATCAAGAACGAAGTTCTGTGTATCTCCATTATTTTTATTTGTTTTAAACGAATGAAAATTTTTTCCCTCTCGAAATTGTAACTTATTCAAAAAAATTCCAATTTTAATATAGAATCAATTTCGATGTGGCTAGGTGTGTCGTTGTTTTTTAATTATTTTCAATCACAAGGAATTCTATTTATAATCGTACATTATGAATGGAAAAAAAAAATCCGTTCCGTTGATTGATGTGCAATAAAATCTCTTGCAAAGCGATACTCGATAAAGAAGAATCATTTTTTTTACGATATAATCGAGTTTTGTATCGCGTCGAACCGATATTAATCCAATAATTTATATATACATGTATTATGTATATATTCGACATCGATATTCAAAGCGAGGACACGTTACTTCCGGTCGTATCCATCTTGATGAACAATCGCAAATCCCCCACCCACGTTTCTGGTACACACAACTGGCGCAAACGCCGGTACACGGTTCCGGGAAATCTTACATAACTGTGACAACATGACAGCGTATTTTTCAATTAGCAGTTATACAGGAGTTCATTTCGATTTAATTCCCCGTCGTCCCTTAAGGATTAAAAAAAATTAGTTAGAGCGGAGAGCGAATGAAATAGGAGGAGAGGAAAATGTCGAACGGATGATTACTGCTAAGATATAAGGAGGAGGAGAATTGTTTCCAACGGTCGACAGAGTTTTTATTATTCGAGAAACAGCGGAAAATCTTGTCGAGATAATAATACGATGTAATCTTCTTAGTTTAATTATTTAGAATCCATCGGGAAGTTGAAAGAAATACAAGTTTTCTCGCTTTGTTGATAATTACGTTAAAAATATATTTCTTATATATAATAATTTGTTTATATTTATTTTTTCGGTATTGTTTTCCGATTTTCTGTATTACTTGTACGAATGAACAATAGAATAACGATAGAATAATTAATGCGTTTGAATTAAATAGCGAGAGGATCGTAATATTTTTGTATAATACGATGATGTAATAGTATTGAAATAGATAAATGTTAAAATTAATCTTCCAAAAAGTTCTTTAACTTCTTTATGATCTATAATTTAGAATAGATCCATATTCAAATATATTATAAACTACTTTTACAAAATAATCATATCACACGTATACGTTTCTATTTCATTAATTTCATTAATAGTGTTAATTTTCATTTATAAAATCACGCGATCGTTCGTGCCTAGAAATCTTATTTCATTTCTATAAAAAAAAAAAAAAAAGAAAAAAAAACGTTCTTATAATAACAATTCCAGTATACGAGGATAATCATAATCCGGTTAATCGAGGCCCCAATCATAAATAAAGTAGCCACACACCTGTACTATTATTACTATTACTATTATTATTATTATTATTATAATATTGCAAGAAATATTCCCGTGTTCACGAAATTTGCATATTATCGTTGAATTTGCCAAGCTTTAATGTGACTTACAGTTTAAACCTTGCCACCGACATCTGGAATAGTTGCGCGAGATAACACATAGATGTACTTAACAAGCTTATTATCGACCCCCTCCCTTCCCCATATCTAGTTAATTATAACAGGGGTGAAGTTTCTGCAAACTCGGCGAAAGAGAAAGAGATTAAAAAGAAGAAGAAGAAGAAAAAGAAGAAATAGATATAAATAAAACGACGGTACGAGAAATGCACGTGGCTAAGATTGTTGCCGAATAATAAAAGAGTCGGTGCACCGCATCGGTGAGATTGGGAGCGTGGGTTGCCCGGTGCAACAAGTCGGATTAACAGCTGTTTCTGGTGGCGTGTACGGTTCCACGGTTCATGGTGGCTCGATTTGGCCGCGGTCCAAGTTTCGTTTTACGACTCGATTTACCGAACTTGGCCATTGTGCCCGTGTTGGATGCCGCAACGCCAGATAAGAAACACCACGCGAGAATAACTCGATCTGTTTAGATCGATGTCCGACTTTAAACACGCGTTCTACAAACACGCATCGCTTGTTGAAACTTAATTAGACAATTCGAGGCGAGGTGGAAGGAGGAAGCAAAGTATTGTCAAAATGTTTCATGAGGAACATTGGAACGTCCGTCAGAGATTTACGTTTAAGTGTTTTGAAAATTGTTTCAAAAAAAAAAAAAAGATTTGCCGTTAAAAGTTGGACTAGGAAATTATTGATGTTAATGTAACGTTTCGTGTTACGAAACATCGGTCGTGAAAATGGAAAATGTATGCGAGAATTCATTACACGCGTAATGATTGGTTGACGACTGCAATGGAACATTACGATTGCAATGAAAGGCTGTTGTAAAATCGGGTTGCAATCGTAAATGTTTTCCCTGATGTGATCGAAAATTTCTGTTCCATTCTAACAGATGCGAGCGAAAGAGTAAAAAAAAAAAAAAGGAAGGAAATAGAAGAAAATAAAAGAAAGATATTTAATAAACTGCTTATTAAGATAAGCAGTCTACTAATTTAATTTACTACGAAGCAATTGAAAAGTAAAAAGATCAATGTAGATTGTAATTTATCCCTTAAGTCGTATTATATATTAACATATTCGATTAGTATCTAAATATATTTAAATGTATATATTCAAAATCATCCCCTTTGTATAATTTATGAATTTTCTGAAATGCACGAAAATTTCTCTTAATGTAACATTCTTTGCATCCTGGAGTAGAAAGTATACAATAGAAAAGTGAATGGTTGCGAAAATATCATTGTGACAAATCGAGTAAATGAAACAAAAATATATAGAAAAGATACATACACTTACCTCAGGGACGTAGGCAGAGCTTCGTGAGGTGAAAAATTTCGTAACGAGGTTTGAGACATGCACAGCAGTTGCTGTTAAGGACCCGTTCAGGTCCTCGTTGCGTTACCTCTTCTTTCTTTTCCCTCGAGTCCCGTATCCTTGATCCTTCTTCCCTCACTTCAAGTGGAAGTCACTCTCTTAAACACCCACGAGACGAAGCGGCATCGACTTTGCAAGCGGCGATCCTTTGTCTTCGCCCTCCAGTTTAACCGGAAGAGGCGAAATCACTCCTGTTCCGAACGATGCTGTCGATACCTCTCGGATTGCAGCACCCGTGACGATCTCTTTGTTATTGTTCCCGCGAAGCACACGTCTTTCTCTCATTGATCTTGCGACATGAACCACGCGATTATCCGCACGAGGCTGTGACCGAGACAAATCACCGACCAGCAGAGAAGCGACGCCGGTGCGAAGCGCTGACTGAACCACTGGCAAACCACCGAGGGGTGGTCCGTATCGTGCGGAGGTCCCTCTACTCTCTCTGCCGCTTTCCTTCTCTCTGCCTCACCCCTCCCTGCTCGCCAACCTCCCTCCCACCCATCTCGCCCCTTCCACTCTATTTCCCTTAGTATTTCTGTTCATTCCACCATCCGTTTTCTATTCTTCTTTCTACTTTCTTTCCTCCAGTCCGCGATACTCGATACGTACTCCCCTTATTCCTCCTCGCTATCTTGTTTTAAGTTAGCCCTTTGGAAATCCCTCGCCAGATATTTCTTCCCCCCTCTCTCTCTCTCTCTCTCTCTCTTTCACGCTTTATCCATCCTCTTTCCTGTTGCTCTTACTCGTGTCTCTATCTTTTCTGCCATCAATTTTAGCCTTCTTCGTTGCTCCGAATTGTTCCATCTTCCTTCATCCTCTATTCTTCTCTCTTTTCTATTATCTGGTAACTTTCATCCATGTTACGCCGTCATGGGTATATTTACGGAAGGAGACACAGGTCGTAGTGATCCCACGATCTTGCGCGCTACCATCAGGTGCAACACCAATTCTCCTGCTACATCAGGGCAGGTTTAGGTTAAACTGTTGCATACTTGATGCGAATAAATGTTTTGTATCTTTTTTGTTTTCTATTGTTGGTTCTTTTTTTTAAATTATAACTATTTGTGTACATATATATATATATTTGATAGAAATTAATATTAAATTTTATATTAACGTAAATATTATAGTATTATTTTTTTCTTTTTTAATTTTTATCGTTAATATAAATGCCTATTTGTTACGCATCTCTTTTTAAATTTACTTTCATATCGTAATAAGCGATTTATAATCAAATATCAATAAAAATAATTTTTTCAATCATCGTTTCATTTAATCAATTATTATTTATTATATATATTACGAAACAATGTTACGAATATTTTACATTCAAATTAAAAATTTCTTTTAGCATGAATAATATTTGTTATTCGAATTTATTAATTCGATTTTTTATTTTATATTATTTAAATTCATTTATTAACTATTCAAGATACTTTAGTAAAAAGTTCTTGATGTTTGCGTTATAGTTATCAGGATTAAATGTGATTGATAAAATACAATTTATATCTGATTGATAAATCGATAAATTGTTTTTTATTTTAATAGAATATATTTACTTATAAATTTCTAAATGTAACTTTTAATAAATTTGATACACATTTCATTTGTGGATACAAGAATTCGAATGTATTTTTCATTTATTTATTACATTCTTTTTTTTGCCTAAATATGTTGTCTACATTTTGAGTTGTCTCTTTTAAGCTCTTTTAAGATATTTATTAAATAATATTTGAATATATTCAATCATATTCAATATAAACATATATATATATATATATATATATATATACATGCAATCTATTAAAATGGTATATGTAAATATATTTTAAATATCTAATATAGCTAATTTTTGATAATATGTATTTCTTATTTATATTAGAGACTTTTTTAAATATTTTTCTTTTTTCTTTCTTAAACGAAAATAATGCTTTTATAAATAAATGCAGTATAAAAAAAAACATCTTAAATATATTTTTTTAAGACTTAAATAAATTGATAACATAATATAGAAACTTTAAATTTTTAACAATAAAAAAAATTTTTTATATTATTTTTTAAAAATAATATATAATATATGTTATATAAGAAATTATTCTTTCAATGAAAACCCAACTAATTGAAGTCTCATACAATCAATATTATTAAAAAAACTAAGATTTAGTTTTCAATGCAATAGAATTTTTGTTCCAATATTGTTTTATATAATTTATATATTATATAATTTAAACTTATTCATCTATATATACATATATATATATATATATATATATATATATGTATGTATATATATATGAGTATATGAAATTATTTAATATATTGTTATAATTTAATTACACTTACTACATTTTTAATTTTTGGTTTCTTCATAAAATAATTTAAAACTATTGTATATGATGATTTTACTTAATAACAGATATTTATTTACTATATTATTCAAGTAACATACAACTAATGTGGCATAAGTATCGTATCCGTTTCATATAATTTCCCTAGTTTCAATGATTCATCTTTTCTAATAAGTGAAGCTGCTGGATTATCGGGTCTCATAACTGAAATTTAATAAATATAAAATTTCATATTATAATGATTTAAAATAAATTAATATAATTTAGAGTTAAATTTTCATCAATATTATACTAGATATAAACACTTATATAAGAATGTAACTAATTGAAAATAAACATTAAATACTTACCAATAATATACTCATAATACTTTGGAATACGATTTTCATGAAGTTTTTTATAAAATACAATTCCACTTAAAGTCGAAAGTACTACTGCACCAATAGGTATAAATAATCCTAATGCAGGGTTATATTCTGCAAACTTTTTCCATAATAATATTGTCCTATTCCCTATAATATTAATTATACATTATTATATATATATTAAATATTTATTATTAAAACATACAGAAAGGTTTATGATATATCGGTTTTAACTCATCCAAAAATATCACTTTCCTCAGAATTTTCACCATTTTTTACAATTTATATAACCTCTCGCGCACAAAGTAAGACAACTAGTATGAATCTACGTGACATTCATAACGCGGTTAATTTAAAATTACAAAATTATAAAGTTATAAACTAACAAACTAATAAATTAATGATACATATTCATTAAAACCATTAAAATTATATTTATTTAAACTAAACTATTTTTATTTTTATTACTCAAAATAATAATTATTAATTTATATATATGTCAAAAAAAATATTATTTTATATTTTGATTAACTATATTAATTATAATCTATTTTAATTACAGTTTCATATTTATTTTATATAATTATTAAATTTCTCCTATAAAGTAATTGTATTTTATTAAAAAATCAAATAACTATACAGTCAATGAAAACATAATCTTAGTTGAAAACTCACAAGTATATTTCCATTGCGTCGTTCTGCCATCTTGCGATTGGCGTAGTAAATGAGAGCTAAATGGCAGTCATGGCTGGCATCGTGAGGCCTTTAATTAGTGACAAGTGATTCGGGAAAGTGTTTTTGGTATTCAGTGTTAAAGGAATTGAATATAATTTGTTGGAATCCACAGCATAGGCCCTTAAGGGCCTCTACAATTCGGTGAGTACGAGAATCTTTCTAAATTAAAAATCTTATATCGAAATATTCAACGCTTTGCATGGTTATTGCACACCCTTGTTCCTATGCACGACTTTTTATATTTATCTTCTAAAGTGAATCTATTGTTTTTTCAAATGTCATTCGCATATTTATTTTTTTCTAATTCGATATTTTCGAATAAGATTAGCCATAATTCGTCAATTATAAATAGGCGTATTGAAACTATCCGGAACAAATAATCCTTTCAATTATGTCATTCAGACTTTCTTTCAATAATAAGATTAGAATTATTTATTCGTATACGTGTTATGTTACTTTTTATTGAAATTAAATAGAAATATTATTGATAGGTTTTTGTTTGTAATTTTTATTAAATGTTTACTCTATTTTGGGGTTAAGTTGGGCCTCCCGCATTGACGAACGTTGCTTCGAGATATTGATAAGGTTCGATACTTTTATAGTTACTGTAGCTCCTAACAGATGTCTCCACGTGTAGTATTTCGAATAAATGTTTCTATATATACATATATATAACTGTACATATATTTTAGATCCATAATGTTTCACATATTAAATACATATTAAGTACATTATTTTCGAAAAAAATCATACATGTACACTACAAGTCTGTTTTATTCGTTATAAAATATTTTACTTTTCATATAATTATTTTTCTATTTCCTATAAAATTTTATTTTTATTTTATATTATTTAAATTGCCGTAACAACAAATATAATTCGTTATAAAATATATAACTATTCTCGTTTTTATTCATATTTTATACTTTCTCAATTATTCTGTACGATATATATATATCGTAAATATTTATCTTTGTATCACAAACATATATTTGTTGATATATATGTTAAAATTTACGGATACAAATCGAAAATTATAATTGATATAACAAAACGATTAATAAAATAGTATCATTCAAATAAGTAACAAATACCTCTTATTCTGAATTAATTTTAATTTCAAATCACATCATCAAATTAATTCGAATTACACGTATATCAATCTATTATTCATCTAACAAAGTTACCCATAATTCTGACAAAATATCATGATTTAACTATCCTAATAAATCCACTATCTAATATATCCAATCAGAATATAATATTCTAAAGATAAAAATTTAATATTAATAATAATACTATCGAGGGATCAAAGTGGCGTCTTTGAAACAGGTATATCTTTCCGATAAAAATATAATAATAAAAATCAAACTTGTGAAACATGTACGCGTAAGAAGATAATTAAAAAAAAAAAAAAAAAAAAAAAAGAAAAGAAAAGAAAAAAAACGTAAGGAAAAAACGAGAATAAAAAGATTATATACCGCGATAAATCGTCTATCGCTTAATTGGCTAGTTTTTTCCCGGTTACCCGATGCGAATAGTTCGACGAAAGAAAGAAGCAAGAATTGACAGTGATCGATTCGCTGGATTCGAGAGGATCGCGGTGGGTGGAGGGTGAGGGATGAGATTCGCGATAATTACAAGCTTGTTTCTTGCTCGGTGCTCTCGCTCGTCGAATTCTGGATTCGGCCAGCGTGGCTCGCTTTTCGAGTTAGCCTGCGCCACGGAATTTTGGCATTCCTCGGGAAAAAGCGAGTAGCGGGTCCCCAATCTCGTGTAAAAACTCACGTTCCCGTACTCGGCGACACGTGCTCCGACGGGACCACACACGTGGCTCCTTAGTTTCCATTCTTTCCTCCCTTTATGTCTTCCTTACTTCGTTCGATTTTTGCGAGCTCGAGATCGCGCCTCCCTCTTCGAGGAATCGAAAAAGGATCGATAGTGGCGTTCGATGGCGCTCGGATGCGATC